CATATATACAGCCCAGGTGTGAATGCAAATAGTGGAATACAAGCTATGTGGCTCGGTTCCAGTAGATACAGAGAATATTTTGTCATTCTTAACGCGTCCTACGAAATTCTTACGAGACAGCACTAGTCCGTGAATTTGTGAACAGGATCGGAGATCTAAAGATGCAATCTCTACCGTGCATCAATGGCGGCCTGCTGGATCTCAAAAGAGATTCTTTAATGAATATAAATAAATTTTAAAAGGCAAATGGAAAACCCATGAAACAGCAAACGGCCACATAATGCAAAACTATTTAAAATTAAAACGGAACAGTAGAGAAAATCCGATATATATATATATATATATATATATATACATACATATAAAAAATATAATAGTCGTATAAAATACAATATGTACAAACATTACAATTCAATAATAAAAATAACGGTATCTTACTACTTAATATTTATTTATTATTTATAATAAAAAATGTAATTTGAACAAAGAGGTATAAAATATTGATTATCTATCTTGCGTGTATAATAAATCCAGAGACCTGCTATGACCTACTGTAAACAGTGATGAAAGCCAACTCATGCCAGTCACGTTTTACAGGTAGGGCTTTGTAGTACAAGGACATATCAGTTGACCATAAATATTATTAACATTAACCTCATAATAATAACAAAAATAGCAGTAGCAACCAAGAAAAACGATAACAATAACAAATAGGAACCTGTTATTTTAACGCCGAATGAATCATTCTGTACATATTTTTAATACAGAATAAATCTTTATGTAGTTAAAATAACTCATTTGAAATAACAGTAAGAATGATAGGCATAATGATGAGAGTAATAATGATGATAATTAATACCATCATCACCATCATCATGATAATGATGATGCTCTTTATAATGATTATTACCATCACCATGCTAATTATAACATTAATAACAAAAATGATACCGGTAGCCTAATGATAATAGGCCTAGGCCTATTATTTATAATAATTAAAATAATAATAACATTAATAATTATGATAATTATAATGAAATCTAATAACAATAAACTCTGTCTCTTATACACATCTAGATGTGTATAAGAGACAGCTATACTACCTCAGCCCCACATGCAATCCCGGATTCACTGTAGGTAGATATTGTTGCTGTTGTTGCTGTAGCAATTTCTTTGATGTCGCAATTCAAGTGAAATCAATTACAGTAGGCATTCATCAAAAGTAAACGGCATTTGTTCGTTTAAGCTGAAAGCAGTGTAATAGTAATGCAGACAAACATCAATATGAATCATCGCCTTGTATTGCGAATTGAGCTCATTACATGCGATCAAACGCAACCGGGGATTCCCCTTGTCGTTTTCCATAATCATAATCGTTTGTCAAAAATCATGGAAAAACCCTTAAAAATTATATAAAAACTTTGACCATGATCAAGTAATTAACTTCAAATTGAAAAAAGAGATACATAACTTTAAGTTTGTTTGCTGTTTTTGTAGATCGTTGTAAAATTAATAACCATTGGCACAGAGAGTTTGGACTTCCACGTGAATGTGCCCTCTATAGCGTGAATTCGTCCCTCGGGCCAAAATTGTAGTGAATTTGGCTTTTAGTGACGAAATTCAACACTAATTTTAACATTCTTTATGGAAATAAGCACGGATGGGCCGAATTCACTATATTCACTATAAGTACGTAAATCCGATCTGATTGTATGCAACTGTATGAATATTATTTGAAACGTTATGTTACTCTTCAATCACATAGGTCTAATAAGCCACCATGCTTAAATAGGCCTATCAAATGAGTTTAGTTGGTTGTAAGACAGGGGTGGCGCCAGTGGGAAGGGGAGAGAGGCAGGGCGGGCCCTCGTCGGTGAGAGTTGGCTCTCCAGCTGGGGAGAAAAAAAAACGCATTTTGTCAGGTAGAATAAAAAATTGTATATATTTTTGACATATTACCGTAGCATTTAAATAATAAGCATTAAAATAAGCATTTTAAACCCCTAAATTGTCATAGCTACCTGGGTATATGCTCCCTGGATCACTTCCGAGAGATTTTAAGTGTCGCCCGACCACGCCCACTTAGGTTCTCGTCTGGAATTCGTCCCTACCCCACGTCAGAGACATCCAATCAATACCCCGGTTGTAAGATTGGACTTTTGTGTGAGACGGATCGATTTCGAGTGCTGACAATGA